GGTTGGTGAGGGCTTCATCCCGCCTATATATATTTTAATCGGAACCGACGCAACCCGAACATCTTCACAGCGTCCCTCCGACATATAAGCCAAGCATCTGAAGGTCCCAACCCTAAGTCACCCAAATTAGTAATTTTACTAACCATAAAATTTACGTAAATTTTTGTTTTTACTAAGGAAAATTTACGTAAAAATTTACGTAAATTTAATAGTAAATCCAATTTAGGTTATGAGTAAATCCAGTTTAGGTTATTAGTAAATCCAATTTAGGTTATTAGTAAATTTTTTAGGTTATGAGTAAATTTTGTGAGCATGATTTTGAAGCAGAAAATGTCTCTATTTATGTGAGTTGGCTTTCTCCAAAGAGGCAGGTTTTCTACAGGACAACATGTACTTGAGGATATTTGCGCTATGGATTTTTGTTTTTGTTGACTGAGCATGCCAGGAGGTGTGGACTTTGCCTTTACTTGAAGGGATTGCATTTACTTGAGCATGTGTACCCTTCTTGACTTGAACAAAACATTTTTACTTGAGGGTGTCTACTTGAGGGAGTAAATTTACTTGAGGATATGTACTTTTCTTCACTTTAGAAACAAGAGCATTCTCTGATTCTCTAATGGTTTTTGCCAGTGTGAGGGTGCATGTTTTATGTGAGAGATCTTTTGGCTCTGTGAGAAGAAGAAAAAGAAGAAGAACAAGAGACACCTCAGCAAGAAGGAAACAAGCAGTGAAAGGGCCAGGAAATTGCGCAAAGCTGACAAGATTCTTGGACTGAACTTTAAACAAGTTTGTTTGTTGAAAATTAATTGTTCAAGTTTGTATTAACTGCAGCAAATGAACAAATGTTATGTCAATGTTGGCTTGAAACCATTGTCAGGAGGCGTGACCGCATCAATGCCACGATGGACTTGATGAGGACGCTGCAAGATGACAGCAGTTCATCTCTGGAATCCTTGGAGTGAAAAAGACACAAGCAGCCTTTGGGGTAGAGTTGAGGGCACGCATTGTGACATGATGTTGAGAAGCTGTTACATGAAGAAGATCTGACTTTACTTGAGAAGCTTTGACATGAGGGTGTGACTTTACCTGTTGAGCTTTTACTTGAGGATGTGATTTCACTTGAGCATGGCGCACTTTACTTGAGCATGGCAGACTTTACTTGAGCATGGCACACTTTACTTGAGCATGGCAGACATTACTTGAGGATGGTTTTACTTGAGTGTATTTTACTTCAGTGGTTGAGACTTTGTGTAAGTATACTTTACATGAGGATGCCATTCAACTTGGAATTGTGCGCTTAGTCTTGTTTAGTTTTGTTGTGAGTTGAAGTGTATTTGATATGTATTTATGAAATTTAGTTGATGAATTCTTGATGAACTTTTGATGCACTTTTGATGCACTTCTGATGTACTTTTGATGTACTTTTCAAAAGTGTATACACTTTTGAAAAGTACATCAGAAGTGCATCAAAAGTGCATCAAAAAATCATACAATTTTTTGACAGGTTTTTTGAAAAGCTATGATATTCTGCATCATATTGTCAGCAAAAAGATATCTAGCATTCTTGTGGGTTTATCCTTTACCTGAGAATGTAAATCTTTTGCGCAAAGAGTTGATCAGCATTGTATGTTGTTCAATTTGAAGTTGGTTTATCCTTTACCTGAGAATGTAAAGCTTTTGCGCAAAGAGTTGATCAGCATTGTATGTTGTTCAAATTGAAGTTGGTTTATCCTTTACCTGAGAAGGTAATGCTTTTGCACAAAGAGTTGATCAGCATTGTATGTTGTTCAAATTGAAGTTGTTGAGAGTTTACTGCACAGCTGGCTTATTGGTTATGGTGGAACTCACTGAAAGTGATGGAGCCTTATCTACGACGAAAATTTAAATTTTGATTTTGTGGGACACACTCCCAAAAACAAAATTTATGCCACAAAGAAAGTTAAACAGCCTGTATGTAAAGATGCTGGATTTGTAAAGACTTCTCTAATGGACACCTAAACGGTTTGTGCTTCTTCAATGTCAGTTCGCACTTCGATAGATGTGGACGTGTTAAATCTTGTTGGAAATATCGGCTCTAGGGAGAGGTGGGCGGGAAACTTCCCGTTTTATTCAGGCAGCACAAAGAACAAAGGTTCTTGGGGGTGTTCGTGTGTGTCGTTGTAGTGTTGACGTTGTGCTTGTTTGTCACGCGTGGAGCGGTTTTTTTTGATTGTTTGTCGGACAGACATGTTCTAGGTCGTTTTCTTATCACATAGGTTGAACATGAGCGATGGAATGCGATTCGCCTGTGGAAGTGAGCGGAGAACCACTTCCTGCCTGGCTGGATGCCAATGATGACGAGGCGAGTGCAATCCAAGATAGTGAAGCCAATACTTTGTGCGCAGCTCATTCTCAACCAAACCCGCTTCACGCCTCTCGTTCATCCCCTGGTGCGCAACTTGAAGGGAAGGTTTTGAGCAGCCAGGAACTCAGTGATCTCAAGTCACTCACTGCCGAAGCTTCTTTTAGTACAGTGGCCTCCAGCTCGTTGAAGTTACCATGGGAAACGCCTCAGATGAAACTCATTTTTAGTGACGATGAAACTTGTCAACTTCCAAAGCTTGACCCTTTGCACGATGACAATATTGCTGTGGCTTTCGTTCAACCTGGAGGCACTCGACAGGTCGAAGTTGCACGGGGTCGCATTTTTGACAGGGCTTTCACTGGGCGTTTCAAATCTAGAGATCTTGGCGGCGATGAGCAATGGGAGTACATTTTTGAGAAATGGTTACTCGTTGTTTTGCAGTCGCCCGAACATTCGCAGATTGGCCGGGTTGTCGTTGACCTTCCAAAGGAACTTCAGCTGGAGGCGGTGAGAGATGTTTTCGGAGGCAAGAGCATGTCCACATTGAGAAAGAGAATCAGACAGACGGTAAACCTTGTCGAGTGGTCGTTGCAGGAGGACATGCCTTGTGAAGTTTTCCCGATCACTGGAAACATAGTCCGAAGGTATTTAAAATACCTTGCATCTGAAGGAAAGGGTCATAGCGTGATACAGGGGGCTATGGAGAATTTTAGATTCCTTCACCACGTGGTCGGCTTTGACATGGAGCAGGAGGCGCTGAACTCAGTGTGGGCCAGAGGCCTCATTCGAATTAGCTTACAGTGTAGAAAGAAACGAAAGCAATCGAGAACTTTGCTCGTGTCAGAGTTACAATTCCTTGAGAGCTTTCTGAAGGATCCAGGAAACACCCCGCAGGACAGGTATGTGGCTGGGTGTTGCCTCTTTGCGGTATATAGCAGGGCGCGTGTTGGTGATCTTGCTTGCATTGAGGAGGCGAGTGTTGACATGTTTCAGAGGGTTGATGGTTCCTGGTATGGATACATTGAATTGCAATCCAGTTCACACAAGATGAGGGCAAGTAGCAATGCGCTTGGCTTGAATCTACTTCTTGTTGCCCCAGTTCAAGGAGTCACGAGCAACTATTGGGGAAAAGTGTTTCTAGATGTTGCTGAGAAGGTCGGACTGCCACTTGGGAGTAAGACCATGTGTTCAAGACCATTGCTCCCTGTTCCAGATGGTAGTGGTGCTTGGACTAGCAGGCCAAGTGACAGCTCGGAGGTTGGAAAGTGGCTGACGATGTGTTTGTCGGAGGCTGGTTTCGACGTGAGTGGGTTGTCTGCACACGGGATGAAAGCAACCACACTCTCCTTCCTCGCCAAGTGGGGGGCTAGCCCGGACGACCGGACAATCCTTGGACATCACAGCTTAAAGCAGCGTGGCAGTCTCGAATGCTATTCGAGGGAGATCCAGGCTGCGCCGTTGCGCGTTCTTGAGGCGTGTCTCAAGGACGTCAGAGCTGAGACTTTCAAACCAGACCTTTCCAGATCGGGGTATTTCAGTGAAGAAGCAATACAGGCGGCTCCTGTTGGCACACAGTCCGAGGCTGGACCTGTCAAGGCAGACGAAGCATCAGTGGGCGAGGTATCTAATGCAGATAGTCTTGCGGTCGTGGAGGTGGACCCAGAGGTATCCGATGGCGGTTCCTCGACCTCTTCGACTTCGAGCGATCCAAACGATGTCGAGACCCTGGAGTGTCGGCCTAAGTCCAGAGAAGGTCAGAGCCCACTGATTTGGAAAGAGGGGTGCAAAATCTTTCAAAACACGACAACTAAGAAATTGCACTTGAAGCCTGAAGGTCCTGAGGAAACTCCTTTCATTTGTGGAAGGAAGATGTGCAGTGGCCACCGGCCTTTTTCAGGACGAATTTTGATGGAAGGCTGGAAGTGCATTCAGTGTGATAGGAGTAAACCTATCAGGACGACCGAAGGTCTAACGGAGGCCTTGGACCGAGCCCTGAAGCGGTGCAGAGCCGGGTAAAACGCACTTCCTTACACTTGGAAATCTTTAGTGGAAGATTCTCACTTTCAGTTGTGGATGTCCCAAAACAAGGGTGACCATACAGACACTCCTGTTTTGTGACACACCCACTTCATGAGTGACACTTGCAGGAATTTTCTTTAAGAGAAAGACGAACTTGCAGGAACGAAACTCGTGATGGTTTCGCGTGCGGGAACATAGAGTAAAATGAACTCGAAGTTGGATCGATGTAAAGCCTTTGACAGATCTCTCTTGAAGTTGGCTCCGAAAACGTGAGGGTACCAGGTCCCAAGAATTCGATGGCCCAGGGCCAGTGGCCATCGAATTGTTTTGGCCCCCACAAACGTGAATAAAAACAATAGTTGGGGGAGCGGCTCTCTACATCCGGATCCAACTCGAAACGAAGGATGCGGTCAGACCTGATTGTCTAGAGAATTTTGGAGTAAAATTGTTTGACGGAGCCATTTTGGCGAAGCAATTGTTGGTAGTCACTCAAATCAAGGCATTAACTAGGACACGTGACTCGTCATCAAACTTTGACCCTTGTAGACCGTCACGATCAAAATCACACTATAGCGTGTAAGTCATTTCCACCAACCATGTTGACTTATTTCCACCTTCGTTCACTAAGCCCGCGATCATGAGCAGCATCATGGACAGCGAGGCAGCACTCAGGGCTAAAGCCGAAGAGCATGGTTTGGACGCAGGACTGATAGCCTCATTGATTGGCCGAGGAGTGAATAGCATCAGCAAATTGGCATACTCGATCACAACCCCCGGTGTGAATCCCACCGAAGATCAACTACGGGGACTAGTGGACCCGTCAGATCCAGGTGGGGTTACCTTAGGAGCCCTGGCCAGCATTCGTAGGTTGGTCTTTGAGAGCCAAACCATGTCAACTCATCAAGTGAAAATGGCTTTGGAGAACACCGAGAGTTCCAAGAAGCCTGAGTTGGTGCCAGCAGAACGACATGCCAGGATCAGAGAACAGAAAACACGTCTTGCAGGTTATGACCTGACGGGACCTTTGGAGTGTTCACATGCTTCGTACGATGTCGTAGGCGAAATGCTCCAGAAGGACTCGGTAGTGTACTTGCCTCCAACCAAGTTCGGAACTCGATCGGCCGAAGTTGCAAAAGATAGGCCACCGAAAGAGCTCATCATCGACTCCAGCTCCCACCTGGCAGTGACCACAGGCCGCAAAGAGGACAGGTGCAACGTGAATTCCGACTTGCTTCTTTCACAGGCCTTTACTAGAAGAGCTTTAGCGTGTGACCTCATGGGAGCTTGTTCTTTCGCTGCACTTGAAGGATGGCACCGATTCCTGTTTCGCCACTTGGAACACGCTCCTCCTAGTGGATATGACCATGTGACCAAAGAACAATTGTTGCGGGCCGACAAGCAGGGGTGGATTCGCTTAGCTGAGATTTTGCCGTCTATCAAACGCCTCCCTGATGGGAGCAAGCCGTTGGACGCCGCCTTTGCAGCGTTGAGGACTGATCCATGCGTGATTTTCCATCTGTTGCCACTACCCTCGACGGCTCGCAAGCCATCACAGTCGAACAAACGGCGTGAAGCCACTGAGGAGATTGACAGCGGCGAATCCCACGGGAAACGCCGAAAGGGACCCAAGAAAGGAAAAGGCAAAGGAAAGGGCAAAAAGGGCAAGAACTTTGAAGATCGAATGCCCTCCGAGATCAAAGGCATGAAGTCAAACACCAGCACAGGAGAGCGTATTTGTTGGAACTACAACCTATCGAACCAGAAGTGCACATTCGCTTCCGCTGGAGGGACTTGCAAGAGGGGAAAACACGTTTGCATGAAGTGTGAGGGCGCTCATCCCCAGTATGAGCACAATTGACTATCCCATGAACGCGAGCATAGCTTTGCATGCCCGTCGAGCCTGCAATCGGTTGGGTTGCATTTAGCCTCGAATGGAATTCAAAATCAGACGCCAAACGAAACACAACAATCTCCCCTTGGAAAGCGAAAGTTTTTCAGTCATGAGGATTCCTTCTTCAACAAATTTTCCGGGAGACTTGAAGGCCACAAACTAGAAGACCTAGTTTTCATTGAGATTTTCTCGGGCTCAGGGGGCCTCACTGCCGAGGTTCGTAAGCGAGGGCTGATTTACAGTGTTGGAGTAGACTGTAGCATTAGCAAGCAGGTCAAAAGCCCGACAGTGAGACTCGATTTGACCACAGCAGACGGACAAGCTCTGCTGTTCGACATGCTTGAACAACCTACAGTTGTTGGTTTTCATGCAGCGCCACCATGCGGCGCAGCATCTCTAGCTAGAGAAATCCGTAAGCACCTTCCGAACATGCCTCAACCATTGAGAAGCCAGGAGGAGCCTGATGGGCTTCAGACTCTCCGATTCGTCGACAAGGTCAGAGTGAACAAGGCCAACCAGCTGTACGATTTAGTCGGGCGCCTGTGTCTTTTTGCCGAGGAGCGAGGTTTGCTTTACAGTGTCGAGAACCCAGCTCGATCACTATTTTGGCAAACTAGTTTTCTTAATAAGCACCTTGACAAACTGCAGTTGCGTAAGTATAGAACTTTCTTTCACCACTGCATGCACGGCGGCACTCGAGACAAACACACGCAACTCCTACACAATTGCCCCAAGCTCAACAAGCTGGGATTGCGGTGCGATCGTAGCCATGCCCACGCTCCTTGGGGCCACCAAAACTCCACGTGGAGCACCACCTTGGACACTGCATACCCTCACGCACTTTGCGTGTCTTGGAGCCATTTGTTGTTGCAATACCTTCTCGAGGCTGGAGTAGAGGCACCTCCCCTCCAGATCCCAGATGTTGACCCCATTCAACACTCTGCAAAACACTCTCAGGTTGCCCCCCGACAAACAACCACGTGGTAGGAAAATTCCGCCCCTTGTCCGCGAGTTCGCTCAGGTCGTAGTCATCCAGTTTCCTTCACGTGTGTCTCCACCTTCTTGTCCGATACTCCAGACCTACCCACTGCCTCAGGACTGCGTTTGCGTGCGTGAGCCCACGCTTCGTAGTTTGCCAGCGGGTACCAAAACCCTTCGAACACAATCTCTAGGGGGGAGTGACGGGTGTTCCAAGATGACCGAAATTGTTTTTGGAATTCCTTGGGAGCCCCTAGACTTTGTCAAAGAAGCAGCAGGAGCGGGCCATCCAAGAAATTTCCTCGGGGGTTTTCCAAAAATCCTCAAACAGTCAATAGAAACAAACCTCTCTCACACACAGCACAGCCTGGGAATGACCAGGACCGCTACAATGAGAAAGTGGATGTTGGAGGAAATTCGATGCAGAGATCAAGAGAGATTTGAGAAAGAAAGGATGCCAAAACATTGTGCAAAGCTTCTAGAACGGAAAAACCTCACTGTCTTCCAGAGAATGCTTGATGAAGCCGAGTACGGGGACCGAACCTTGGTAAAAGACATCCGCTCGGGATTCGACCTGATGGGACGCCTTCCTGCGTCGAACGTTTTTCCAAAGCGGCATTCTCACGCCACTATGAGTGCCGAACAAGTCAGAAAGACAGCAAGTGTGACTCGTAAAGCCATATGGAATTCGTCAAGGTCCATGTCAGACCCAGAGATCCAAGAAGGGGTCTACGCTGCCACCGTTGAGGAGAAGGAGAGAGGATGGCTCGAAGGCCCGCTGACCCTTCATGAACTCGAGGCAGGAGCTAGCTTGACTCGTAGGTTTGGGGTGGCTCAATCTTCAACCGGGAGCGATGGAATGCCTTGCGTGAAAATTAGGCCGATCGATAATTTCACTGAGTCCTTAATAAATCTGACTAATTCTGGCTCTGAATGCATACCCGTGCATTCGGTTGACGTGGTGATTGTGTCGTTATTGATTCCAACTTGCAGCAAGGCAACGCACTCTTCAAATACTTGTGCTCCAAATTCTCTACAACCAGGAGCAAGGACTCTGCGCAGTGCATAGCAGCGGCTAAAGACTCGCGTTTGCAGGCTAAGAACTGTGCCGTCTAGATGCACAATCTGGAGGTGTTGGCAATTGTGCCATGCACACTCTCCTATGATCCGATAACCTGCATCAACTTGCACATGCCGTACCCTTGCAAGATGCGAGAATGCTTGTGGGAATATTCTGTCACTGGCTTGAAAAGGGACTCGAAGGGCTTTGGTTTCTCCTTGCATTTGCCCCTTATGTTCAGCTTTCTCTG